ATCAGTAACAGATCTGTTAACCAGAGCTAAGCTTCAACCTCTATCCACTAGAAACCGTCATTCACGTTTGAAGTTTCTTTACCAAATATTAATGGGGCATGTTAAGGTCGATACATATTCTGTTATGCCACTCACCTCTAGATACAGCACAAGACTACGGCATGATAGAACACTAACACCACATCAAACGCGAAATAATGCATTTAAATATTCTTTTTTCCCCAGAACGGTGAATGATTGGAATTTATTAACAAATGAGCAAGTGTTACAGTCTTCATTGGCAAGTTTTACTTCTAGTCTGTGTTCATGAACCTGGATCTCATTTATATTTCGTATATATGCACACATGCGTACTTAGTAAGAGTGCACATTTATTCTTGAAGGTCTATGCATGTATTTGTGTTTCATTTCGTTATTGCTATATTATTTACCTACACTCGGTATTTTGTTCTTGTGTGCACGTAATTGTATTGAGGATTGCTATATATGTATTGGTATGCATGCGTACGTGTATTGTTCAGATGTGTAACCGCGTTTCATTTTTTTTGATAGGTCACTTTCTGTTTTATGTCATACGAATTATGTGACCTGGTTACGCCTACCACTTGTTCCACACATTTCGTAGTACCAGATCATGCATTGTTCATCTTCCCACCCTACCAAAGTCCCGACTAGGGATTGTAGTATTTATAAATAAAAATAAATAAATAAAAAAAATTAGCATGGCATAACATGGCTGTATGACGAGCATAGCTAACTAGCCATAACATGACTATTATGGCATGTATGTCATGAATGTTAAGATTTACATGTCATGGTGTTGCTACTCGTATACGATGGTTTTGTTCACATTACATGTTGTTGCGTTTGAAAGAGACCGGTAGAGGTTGAAAGGGGCCGTTTATTAGGTCGTGAGGGGCAGCTCAGAAGCGGCCGACTGGTTAGAGATCCTCCTGATCCTCTTCTTCCTTTCTAACTGTGGGCGACAAGTGCCTTCGATGATGATGATGATGATTCCACAGCCATGGCTCGTACCCACTCAGGGGGATCAGCCAAGAATCGATGATTTAATTCAGCAAGATTTTTTTTTCAATATTGAAACCACCCATCGGAAAAAAAGAAAGAAAAAAGAAAAGACACCCTAGGCAGAACGAAAGGAGTGCAATAGTTGTTTGTCACTCGTTCAGATAAGACAATTATTCATTACCTTGAATAGGAATCAGCATGGTTAAACAATGCTCTTGTTTATGTTGGAATTTTTGCACGAATAATAATCACGCAATTAAAAGCTGAATTTTTTACTTTCATTGGGGTACTTGCAGACTGCGTGGAAAACGTTCTCGTGGCTGAAGCCCAGATCGTAAGCACCGAAGGAAAGTATACTTTCTATAGTGACATTCAGCCACAGGTTAGCGAATGGGAGGACTATGAGTGTTTTCCTGAGCAATTTGTATCGGCGACATGATAAAAAATAGTGCTCTATTGTTTCCAATTCTGAACAAAAGTTGCATAGTGGAGATATCGCCAGACCAGCCCTATGTGAATAGAAATTTAACGGGGGGACACGACATCGAAATCTGGTTATTATGGTTTACAACTGTCTTGTAGGACACCAATGAATTTTCCATGGAAATCTTAAGTGGGTAAATTCTGGTGTTGACAATATTGCTTCCATAGCGTCTGCCCTAAGCGCAAGTTTTCTGTATCTTGTCGCAGTTATAGTGGCCACTTCGGGAAGGACTTATAGTACTGGCCCTTCCAATGCTGCTCGTGCTAGAGAGTCGGCGATTTCATTTACTTCTAAGCCGCAATGACCAGGTACCCATACTAATTTCAGTAGCTGCAGCTGAAGAGGGACTAACATAAGGAGCGTCCTTAAGGTCATCAATTTTGTTGACGCCGTAATCGACGTACATACTGACAGGGAATCCGTAATTATGATCGCGTTATCGGCATTCAAAGGTACCTTTCGCAGCGCTAGAACTATTGCCAACAGTTCAGCTTCAAAAACTGGGGTGAAATCCGGTAATCTTAACGAAAAAGACCAGTCAAGTGAATGGGAGTATATACCTACACCTGTCTTTTCATTCATTACTGAAGCATCTGTGGCTATAATATTATTCGTTTCTGTGTGCGCAAAATAATCCTGCCATCGGATATTTAAGACCCTATAGGATTGTAATTTGGGCTTAGAGGGAAAACTCTAATCGAATTCTAACTTAAGAATTTGATTTGTAACCTGCACCGCAATCACATCTCGAATTTTTACACATATCCTATCTAGTTGTTTCTGGGCAAAAGCAATTTGAGGTGTTCGAAACCGTGGCCGATGGGCAAGTGCGTTCATCGTATATGCTTCGTTGTCTTCGTGCATGTGCGCAACAATATTACAAAACTGGTGTGGTATGACGTGACTGCATGGTAAAGATAAGTGACAGACCCTAACGGGAAAATCACGACATGCATGTCACGTGAGAACATGCCGCGATCATGATATGCTCGAGGCCGTTTGGCTAGCTTCGCATATACCAAGTTTAGTATTACGTGACGCGAACACACGACGAAGGTAAATGACACGTCCAAACATGATAATCATGACATGGAAGTCATGTATGGCATAACTTACGTCCACCTCATAACTTTGTGCTGATTTTAAAGTGACATATCAACCTTCCTCATTCGTGCTTCTCATATAATCGATTCTCACTGTAAGTACGTGGGATCTGCCAATTTTTTCGTAGCACGACCATCACAAGTGGCTGACTTAGAACACCTAAACACGAACTTCAGCGTGAGTACATTGAACAAGAGTGTCTGTCTTCGCTTTGAAAACCACGAGAACGCCGCAAACTTTTCACCTAGCCATGATGGTGACTCAGGACACCCGGTTCACTGTTGCCAGACGTTCGAGCAAGCTCGCTTAAAGTCTATTATGCGCATGAAATGTTTTCGAACTTCCTCTCTACCCGTGGTCTAATGGTAATACGCGCAGTAACGTGTGTGCCTTTTGTAATCAGTGGCTTGCTTTAAACCACGATGTCGTTATGATAATCGCATGTTTTGGCGCCCGGTGGCAATGTACGCTTGTACCCTGCACTTTTACTGCGAGATTACATGTTGTATCGTGAAGCCCATATACAGGACGCGTGCGTTTACAAAGCATAAATGTTATTTGCACTGCACTTCCAAGCAAAAGTTATTTTCTCTGCATTAATTCCCAAGCAGACGCATGGCTGTGTGGCAGAGCACCTACTTCTCATCCGAACGGTCTAGGTTTGATTCTCCCTCGGACCCGGAAATTTTTACTATTGCATTTGCATCTTTCAATTTTTCGGTCACCGACAAGACGATTTCTCGCTCATAATCAACGACGCCGACGCCGTAAATTCAGCGACGAGAGTTCTTCCCAGAAAATCGCAAGGAAAACATACGACAACCGCAGCTCCGCTGTTTTTGCACATTTTACATTGTGAGAGACTGTGCATGCCAGAGTGTGCGTGCCAGTCAACTCGTGTTCTTGAATGCGCAATGATATTGCACAGCAACCGGGATTCTGGCAGTTCGCCTCCATAAAAATGCCACCAACACGGCTGAGGTGGAAGCTGACCTTCAAGTCAGCAGCCAAAAGCACTGTAACCAGCTTATCACCATGAAGGAGGGCGCAGGGAAATAATTCTGAGCTACGGCATGACATAAGATATGGCAAATCTCGTTCCGTAAGATTAATCGCAAGTGCGAGCAAATACAGAATTGTAGGTGCATGCGCACTTGATGTGCGATGACTCCAAAGAAATTGTGTTTCATATAAAACATGGAAAAAAATTGGCCCCGAATCAGCATGTTAAACTGCAAATGTCGTCGAAATATAATATTCTTGCGCCTGGAGAGAGTGAACAAAACGTTTATTTGATGTTTTGTGCAATAAAATCGGTGAATGGTATTCTGGAGACGCTGCGTTAGAATGCCTCGAGCGTCTAGCGAAGGCGAACTAGTGCATTGAGGCGCGTATACACGAGTGCCATCTGGCAGTTATCTTCGAAAACGAAGGCGTGCGCGCACGCGGAGAAAGATGCGCACCTGTCTCGGAGGTGATGAAGTGTAGAACGCAAAGCGACGGGTAGGTGCCACCACTGTGTCGTCGTAGCAAAGCGTGGGAAACACCTTTTCTAGGGACTGTAGCATTTATCAGCTCAGCGTGATAAATGCTACAGTCCCTAGAGTTACTTGTGTGTGCCTCTTATAGTATAAAGGGGACATACAAAACATTGACGTGTTCTTATGGCGCCTCATATATGCACAATCATTGCTTTTTGATTGACAATCGCACAACTATGAACGCTGAAGCTTGAGCAATATTGCTGGGCGCTGCAGATGGGGTCGGCCGTTTAGTGCCGTTTGATGTATCGTTAAGGGCGGACAAACAAACAAATGTACAGACAGACAGACAGACAGACAGACAGACAGACAGACAGACAGACAGACAGGCAGACAGACAGACCAAATTTTTAGGAAGACTATCGTCTTTGAAGCACTAATGTGTTATTGTGCGATATCTTTTTTTTAGCCCTGTACGCATGCGACATGCTTACGGCATTTGACACATGTGGAAGCTTATGAAAAGGTTGGCTAATGGGACGTATATGGTACGTAAGAAACACTTCGTTTACCTTCGTACATTGCGTTCCCTGAGCGCGTAGGGAAAAAATTCATAAAACTAATTTTACTCAGCATCGGTCGCTCTTGCGCACATGGTACCTTCCTTGATTGCTTGGCCCTTGTGATTTTGCTCTTACCCTCTTGAGGGTATTTGAAATCAATAGATGCTGTACGACACACATTGCTGTCTTTTGTATACATTGATAACACAACCACACGGGTTACATTATGTTTCTAAATCGAGTAAAAATAATAACTAAAACAGATGGCACAATTGAACAAGCTCCGCAGTTTTTCGCCCTGGGTCCGCATGAGTTTAGTGCGTCAACTTGGAGGGCTCTGCTCTACTGGTATTTACCGGCTGACCTTACACCACGGGACTCCAGTGACGCGACAAGCGCAGCTTTTCGTTCACGCACGGTGGCTACGCCAGGCAACTGCGCTTTCTCTATGACCACTTCCGGAAGCCATTGGATTGCCGCGGCGCTAAGCAGCACCATGAAGGCGGACAGTAAGTAGAAGACGTGCAGTCCGCTAAGACCTATGATGACGGCACCCAAGATGCACCCCATTCCGCCAGCGAAGTGTGATAGGCAGATGCCGGCATTCCGCACGACCGTCGGAAAGGTCTCCGCCGTGTAACAAAGCGTCACGCCAGAACCAGTGGAGACGAACACTTTCAGTCCGGCGTGCACGTAGAGCGTCAGAACCTTCTCACCGCGGGACATCACCATAGCTTCGAAAACGGCGAACGTGCTCGCCATGACCATTACGCCGGAGAGAGTCTTTCGGATCCCGCAGCTGCGCATGCAACCGAGCGCCGAGGCGTAGCAGACAACCGAGGAAAGGACGTATGCCGCCTCCCAGCGAATACCTGTGGTCACGTCATTCATGATGAGGCTGATGTAGGTCGCGTCCATAACGAACCTGGCCAGCAGAACAGATGCCGCCCTACGACGCAGTTTCATCGTCTCAATGATGGCCTCCATCGGATCCGCCATGGCGCACGTGTCCAGTCTACGCAACTGCCCCTCGATGGCCTTAAATGTCGTCCGGGCCTTCGCGACGTCCACCCCATTTTCTCTGGCCGCCAGCAGTACCGTGACCTCGGCCCGGCGCAAATCGCGTGTGGCGACAAGCCAAGTGGGAGATTCCTCCACTAGCCAGCACCAGGACGCCAGCAGGCCCGTGGTTACGATGGTGAGTGCGTTAGCGAGCATCCATCGCGGCTTGACAATGGAGATCACGTGCAGAAGAGGTGGGACAAAAATGTGTGGCACGGCGATGTCAATAAGCGTGAACGTCGAGCGACGCGCGTTCCCTGTGACCTCGTGGAGCAAAGTAAACGTGGCGATGAAGGTGACGTCGGTCGCTGCAAATATCAGGAACCGCGTGAACAAGAAGAGCGGGTACGTCTCCGAGAAAGTGTTTGCGACGGTGGCGAATAGCTGTGTGAACGCGCATGCAAGCATTACCGGCCTTCTGCCCACGTGGTCTGCCACCAAGCCGAGTGCTGGCGATACGAGGCCCGAACCAAAGAGGGGCACTATTTCAGATAAGTCGTAGAGGTACTCTCGGTCGCAAACTAGGTCGAAACGACTCACGATGCTGTCTGCCTTGTTCGCGATGTCGTAGCTCCACTCGTGGCAATTAATGGCGGTCCTGTTTTCTTCTTGGCTTACCTGCATACGCAAGATTCTGTCATAACTCATATCACCTATCGCTATGTCACAACTTATTCTTATACATATCTTTTGCTTTTGATATTGTTCCTTTTCAAATCCAGAATATGACGTTTTTCTCCCTGAGATTTGTTATAAATGCATGTGACTGCATATGTCATAAATTTGCACAGAACCACTCAAATGACTTAAGTTACGCAATGATGTCGGGTCAATCCACTTCGCAAAGTGTGGATCATAGCGTCGCATACGCAACTATACTCTGGGACAGCTTTTTGAGGCAATGAAGGGAAACCTGCGGGAGCGGAGCTACTGCTCCTGTACTCCTCCGCGAAGTGGTCCGGTTCGGCTCGCGTTTCGAATGACAGCCGTGGTCGACTAATTCCACTGCATATAATTTGCCACGTCTGTTTAGACAGCAATTTGTGAGTGAAATTTGTCACACTCTTCTTCGGTGAGTCGTCTAAATTAACTGGAGAGTGATGACCGCTCACCTAAAGGCGAATACGCCATTTTGACTGTGAGATGCACCTAAATCGTGTGACGTTCTCAGACGTGCAAGAACGCGAAATGACACTTCATAAAACAAAAAAAAAATATATTAGTCTCTTCTTGGCTCCTGCGGCATCTTCTTATAAATAGCATCTCGTCGAAAATAAAGTAATGTTTTTTTTTTTTCAAAGTTTCCGCGCCGATAACACAGACGCATTCGTGGGAATATATGTTCTTCAGAAGTGGTACACGCCCACTATGGTTACGTAGTCTTCCCTTCATTGCCACAGAAAGTCGCCCCTCAGTATAGTCGCTGGCCTTTTGGAACAAAATCGATGCCACTGCGAGGGGTCAGCCGGAATCCTTTTCATTTTCGTAATTTAGTCACACGGACTCAGTAAACGCTCTTGAACACTTTCTGTGTCACGTCTCTGGCCCCTTAGACCGATATGGACCTCAATCATATCAATTAATAATTATATCAGCCTCAGCAGGTGCTATAAAAGTCTAGTACATCATGGAGAGTTGGCACAGAAAACCTCAGCAGCAGAGTCGTCGCCAGCGTCATTCACAAAACAACCCTTCACTAACTAAAATTGCCGACATGAACAGAAGTGTAGCGCAATGGGAGCACGCAATGCGCCGCAAGGTCCGTGACTGCTTCGTCTAAAGCGAATCAGGCCAGGTCTAAAAGCCATCAAACATTTCTCAGCAGTGAATGCAGCTTTCTCAAGAAGAACATAACAGCGCGAGAAACACCGGTGGACCTCGTTACCGATTCGATACAGATGTAAGACATTCTTTGATTCGAGGGGTGCATACTAACTCTCACCGGTTCAGGCGGGTCGTAAATTGTGCAGTTACTGTAGCTGCCGTCAACTTCAACGGGTATGGAGAGGTTCTTCCAGATGTCGGCTGGTACAGAGGCCAACTGGTCGGGGGCCTTGCACCAGTGACCAACCTTCCTTCCGGTAAGTCTGTACGCAAGGTACTGGAAAAGCAGCACAGCCAAGGCAAGAATCCCACACATCAGAACTCGGCGCTGGTACGGTCCGTGGCCCAAGACGACGTACGTATTCTCTTGTATGGCGTCCCAGTTATTTTTGTCCACAAACCCTGCGAGCAGGAAGGCACCGGTGGGTCTCGCTGCGTCGGACGTTGATCGCGACGGAGCAGCACTGTTGACGACGTTAGACTGAGAGGGCAACATGGGCACCCGGCTTGCGTCATCCGCAGGCCTCTGTGCCGGTGCTGCGATTGCTCGGTTGGTGCTCGGCAAGCTCATGGCGCTCGACAATTCTCGTTCGCTGGGCGTTCGAAGAACAGAGGCAGGACGCGCTGTCGATGGTAACTCGGCGTCATTGCTGGTGGACCGATCGCGACAACCCTTGGGTGATCTATAGCGGGTCTTGCCCCGCGTTCTTGCAGACCTTGGCATCACGGCACCTTACGATGGTCGACCGGTATTACCTTGGAGACAAAAATGGCCGGTAGCATGGCACGCGAGCGCCAGATACCAGCTTGCAAATATGCCTTCTTCAGAATACAGTAATGATAATGATGATGATGCTCCTTGGAATTTTCGCACCAACACACTCAGGATGGTCAGCCGAGAGTCGAGGGGATCATAAAGAGTGAATTGATTGTTATTATTTTCTAAGAGCTGAAATAAGTTACATTTATAGCTTTGAATGTAATGATAATTGTGAAGGATTCTCATTTTAGCCTGTCCAATTTTGCGAAACCTCTCAATGACCGAAAATCTTTGACTAGGAAGACAGAACAAGGAATCATTAGCGCTTTATGCAACTACCAAATCTATTTAAATCGCACATAAACTTTTTGACAGCTTTGAAAATATTCCTGTCCAAGTGTCCCTATGCAGAGGCCTCAAATGATAACAGAATGGCTGACGTAACCGGTAGACAACGTTGCCGCAAAATAGTTTGGATGCTTCGTTTTCTGTGCGAGAAAAAAATTGGCAGATCCTAGTACAGTGAGAATTGATGATATGCGAAGGACGAATGAGGAAGGTTGACATGCCACTTTCAAATCGCCACAACGTTAAGAGGCGGAGGTAAAGTATGCCGTACACTACATCCATGTCATGATTATCATGTTTGGATGTGTAGTTTGCCTTCATCACCCATTCACGTACCGTAATACCAAATTTGGTACATGTGAAGCTAGCGAAACGGCCGCGAGCGCATCATGAGCGTAGCATGAACTTAAGTTGTTACATGACACGCATCATATGATTATCATGTTTTCACCTGTCAGATACTTTCGTCATCCATTCACGTACCGTAATACCAAGTTTGGTACATGTGAAAGTAGTGAAACAGCCGAGAGCGCATCATGAGCGTGGCATGTAGTCATGTTGTTACATGACACGCATCATATGATTATCATGTTTGCACCTGTCAGATACCTTCGTCATCCATTAACGTACCGTAATACCAAGTTTCGTACATGTGAAAGTAGTGAAACAGCCGAGAGCGCATCATGAGCTTGGCATGTAGTCATGTTGTTACATGACACGCATCATATGATTATCATGTTTGCACCTGTAAGATACCTTCGTCATCCATTAACGTACCGTAATACCAAGTTTCGTACATGTGAAACTAGCGAAACGGCCGAGAGCGCATCGTGAGCGTGGCATGTAGTCATGTTGTTACATGACACACATCATATGATTATCATGTTCGCAATTGTCAGATACCTTCGTCATCCATTCACGTATCGTAATACCAAGTTTCGTACATGTGAAATTAGCGAAACGGCCGCGAGCGCATTATGAGCGTGGCATGTAGTCATGTTACATGTTACGCATCATATGATTATCATGTTTGCACCTGTCAAATACCTTCGTCATCCATTCACGTAGCGTAATACCAAGTTTTGTACATGTGATGCTAGCCAAACGGCCGAGAGCGCATCATGAGCGTGGCATGTAGTCATGTTGTTACATGACACGCATCATATGATTATCATGTTTGCACCTGTCAGATACCTTCGTCATCCATTAACGTACTGTAATACCAAGTTTCGTACATGTGAAACTAGCGAAACGGCCGAGAGCGCATCATGAGCGTGGCATGTAGTCATGTTGTTACATGACACGCATCATATGATTATCATGTTTGCACCTGTCAGATACCTTCGTCATCCATTAACGTACCGTAATACCAAGTTTCGTACATGTGAAACTAGCGAGTGGCCGAGAGCGCATCATAAGCGTGGCATGTAGTCATGTTGTTACATGACACGCATCATATGATTATCATGTTTGCACCTGTCAGATACCTTCGTCATCCATTCACGTACCATAATACCAAGTTTGGTACATATGATGCTAGCGAGTGGCCGAGAGCGCATCATGAGCGTGGCATGTAGTCATGTTGTTACATGACACGCATCATATGATTATCATGTTTGCACCTGTCAGATACCTTCGTCATCCATTCACGTCCCGTAATACCAAGTTTCGTACATGTGATGCTAGCGAAACGGCCGCGAGCGCATCATGAGCGTGGCATGTAGTCATGTTGTTACATGACACGCATCATATGATTATCATGTTTGCACCTGTCAGATACCTTCGTCATCCATTCACGTCCCGTAATACCAAGTTTCGTACATGTGATGCTAGCGAAACGGCCCCGAGCGCATCATGAGCGTGGCATGTAGTCATGTTGTTACATGACACGCATCATATGATTATCATGTTTGCACCTGTCAGATACCTTTGTCATCCATTCACGTACCGTAATACCAAGTTTGGTACATGTGATGCTAGCGAAACGGCCGAGAGCGCATCATGAGCGTGGCATGTAGTCATGTTGTTACATGACACGCATGTCATGATTTTCATGTTAGGGTCTGTCGCTTGTGTTTCATCATGCCATACTATACCAGTTTTGCAATCACGCCATACCATACCAGTTTTGCAACATGCCATGTGAACGAAACCACCGCAAGAGCTGCAGGACCATGAAATGTAAACCATGACATTCATGACATACATGTCATGATTTTCCTGTTATAACTAGTCAAATACGTTCTTAATACAGTCACATTATGCCATACCAAGTTTGGTATCAATACCATTATCGAAACGGCCAGGAGAGCAAAAAGTCGTAGGCGACTAGATAGATAGATAGATAGATAGATAGATAGATAGATAGATAGATAGATAGATAGATAGATAGATAGATAGATAGATAGATAGATAGATAGATAGATAGATAGATAGATAGATAGATAGATAGATAGATAGATAGATAGATAGATAGATAGATAGATAGATAGATAGATAGATAGATAGATAGATAGATAGATAGATAGATAGATAGATAGATAGATAGATAGATAGATAGATAGATAGATAGATAGATACGCTCAATGTCGCCGAAGTTCGCGAAGAAATGCTTCGCATTTAAAACACGCCGCTCAAGTGAATGAAAAGAAGTATGAACGGGAGATAGACGTTTCATTTCCTTGTGAGCATTTTGTGCGGTCCAGGTGCTAGGCATGCCTCCCAATTGCACGAAACTGCTCATGCACAATAGCAGACATTGGCTGTTTCTTGTACATATGTACAGAAGGCGCTGCAACGAATTTTTTTTCTATGCAACTCATCTATTACATACCGGCAAGTATGGTTGTCGACTATTCTGTTGCACCGGCAAATAGCTATCGTACCAGCCACGGAAAGCTTTTCGAGAGTCTCTTCTGGGCTTCAACTAGCATCTATGCCGCGAATAATTCCCCGTGTTCACGCAAGGTGTGGCGGTATGCAATCATTCACTGTCGTCGATTCATATGTCGTGCATTTCTTTTACAAGCCTGGTCGGGCGATTTCCATATCCCACCTATACTAAACTGCCGAACATCAGGTGGTGGCGCGTGGCCGACTTGAGTTCAGCCTGTACCGCTTTCGGGTTGGTAAGCCGAACGGATCCTCCATGCAGGGGCATTAGGGCTCCAGGAATACTGCTCGCATCACAGCGAAACAACGCTTCTAGTGGCATTGGAGAGAGACCGACTAAGGCGGAGACCACCCTGCAGGGCCATCTCCTGTAGAATTAGTCGAAATCAGTTCAGCTAGCAATGCATAAACTGTAGATCACCTAACGGTCCTTCCAGCGACGCAGGCGGCGCTACGCGGGTTTCTCTCGAACCTGGCACACGGTGACAAGTTTGCGACGCAGTTGGGTCTCGCGGTATTCATAAGCGCAGATTCGTTTTCATTCAAACATCTATGCATCTATTTAGCAAGAGAAAAGGAAAGATTAATATGTGGGGTTTAACATCCCTAAACCACCATGAGAGATGCCGTTGTGGAGGGCTTCGGAAATTTCGACCGCGTGTGGTTCTTTAACGTGCACCCGAATCTGAGCGCACGGGACTACAGCATTTCCGCCTTCATTGGAAATGCAGCCGCCGCAGCCGGGATTCGATCCCGCGACCAGCGAGAGAAAGTGTGATCTGCAGCGAAACTAGAGGGCCTGACGAGCTTTGCTGTCTGAGAAGCGCACTTCAGAACCGTCTCGTCCACCTTTTTGACCTACCGTTGTGCCGCCTAGAATGGTGAAATCGCGCGTCGGACTCGACGCACGGAGAGCACGAGGCAAAAGGAGAAAAAAAGTGGCACCCACGAGACCCGTAAGCATACACTTATTCTTACTCAGTAAGCACACATTTATGCTCACTCAGGCAAGCACGATGGCGGGCACCTGTGTCGCTTGCTTTTGTGCGGGAAGTGTGCAGCGATGAGGTAACGTTTTGATCTGCGTGAGCTGCCGCGCGCGACTCACGGCCACACCTCGCCCTATAGCTTTAGGAGTGGTATCAACTGGCCGAAGGCGAACGGTGCTTCGGCAATGGTTATTAGGTTCACATGACCTTTCATAAGGGTAAGCATGAGCTTTTTTGTCGCAATATCATGACTGTTCTCAACAACCGTGCTTTGTGCGGCCTGCTACGTTCACCAGAACTATCACCGTGTGTGATTATTTATAACAAATATATATGTCATTTAGGGATATAGTTCACCTACATACATTTTCGTCTCCTTATTTCTAGCTTTCACTACACGTGTTTCTCTGCGCGGGTAAAGTGTACTGACTGATGTGATGTGATGCAAGAACGTCGCAATACTTGCACTCATCGCTTGCTCGACGAATAATTACAATTACCATAACTGGTTTTCAGTTACTCTGTCAGTTTTTCGCACCAACCCATTCATGTACCAGCAGATCAGCCCATCATGGCTGCTAA